ATGACTTTTATGATTTTTATTTTGCCCATCAAAAACTGTTTTCAGTATACTTTGCCTTTATTATCACATTGTAAAGTGTAAGTAAAACTAAATTGATTACTTGATTAAAGGTGAAACAAACAAAGGCAAGTGAAGGTGAAAAACTTGCAGACCGAAAATTGAAGTGGTTTCATTGATGAATTTGAGATTAAATTGTTAGTCGATGGCGAGACTTTTGATTGACTTGAAAAATTGAATAAAATAGACAATTCGTTGAAAGTATTATTGAACTTTGCAAAACAATGCTGTTAAATGTGTTTTGAATCCGACGACTTGTCTAATCGATTACTTGGTCTCATCTTTAACAAAAGCAAATGAAAAAATATTCAAGATTCAAAAGATTGTTATTCACTTCTGAAGGCTCAACACTCCATTTAGCTTCTCTTCATTTACAGTTTGTAATTCAATGTTAACCCTTTATTGTTTTAACATTTCTTATTACTTCACCTTTTCCTTTTTGCTCAATATAAATACTCGCCCAGATGAAAAAATTTATCAGATTTTTTCTCTCCTTCTTACTTGTGCTTTGGGATAATCTATTTCAAGAGAAACACAGAATAAGAGGACAAACTTTATCGTTATAAAAAGATAGAAATCACTTTATTTTGAGAATAATTATTAAAAATTGTTTAAATAGAGGTTATCACAATAGAATTTCAAATCAGGGGCAAATATGTATCAAATTGAACAAAACAAAGGGTGTGAATATTACGGAGATGCAAAAGACTAGAGATGGAAATAGCAATAACTGTAAGTTAGTAACTTGAAGAAAACTGGAAAAACTGAAGTTGAAAGGGAAAAGGTGAAAGCTTATTATACTCATAGTTTGAGGAATGAGAGGTGAGAGTCTAGTTATACAGACACATATAATAAACAGTGCTATAGATTCAAATAAATAATCGTTTATTATCGCGCTCTAGGTCGGACTAGGTTAGGTTAGGTTCGGTTAGGTTCGGTTGGGCTTGGATGGCCTGGGGCCTCAATTAACGCCTCTGTTATTGTTTTGTGTCCGTATAACTAGACTGTTACCGAATGAGATTATTAGTTGAGACCAGTTAGGTGTTGCTCCACGATTCTGTTCCAGACAGCAGATTCGTTTGAAGTATCTCCAGAAGCATCTTCATCTTTGTCTTTGTTCCTTTGATTCAAAAATATCTCTTTCATCTTCTCTTTATATACACTCCAAAATGTATTTGCACCAAAATTTTCATCAAAATAAACATCGAACCAAACACCCCAAACTCGAATACCAGGGACTATAGCTGATGCATTCAATGGTTTTCCATGTCGTAGAACCCGACAAGATTTGTCTTTATTGAACTGAAAATTTATTTCAGCTTGGTACAGGAAATTTGTTCCAAGCATTAACCTGTGCGGTAAATTATCGAACACGTAAATTTTCAAGGACATGCAGTTATTGTTGGGCAGTAATTTGATAAACATCTTGGTAAAACCATTTGCATTTGTTGATTCAGCTTCTCCACCAAGTCCAAGGAATTTTTCAGATAAGGAAAGACCATGAGACCTAATTCTTTAGCGAGATCTGTCGCTATTAAATTTGTATCAGCACCAGAATCAAGGATTACATTGATAGGATCAATGTCAAGATCTTCAAATTTTAACTGTAGTCACAGCAGGCAATGGACTATCATCATTAGGTGATTTATTATCAGAGACAAAGCTTTTGGCTTTAGATCTATTCTGATTATAACTGTTTCTTTGAACTTGATTCTGACCTCGGTACGAATTTCTTTGATAACTCTGCTTGTTGCCAAACCAATAAGAATCCTCAGTAAAAGTGGAAGTAATATTATGAGACATATTGACCCTAGCTAGTTAAGGTATCGGGAATGATAGTTTAAAGTTGAATTAGAGTCAGTTTACTTGTGATATGTTGAATAGCTTACTCAAGGCTTAAGAATTGAAAATTCCGTTTGTTTAGAGTAATTATTTCAAATTGTTTTTAATATCAGTTATCAGATAAATCAGGGGTAAAGATAAAGGAAATTTTACAGAACAAAAGGAAGTATGGATAATACGGAGATGGAAAAGGCAAGAGAAGAAGTAGCATGGAGAGAAAAACTGGAAAACTGACTTCTGCTGAAAAGGGAAAAGGAAATAGCTTATATCATAGAGTAGTATCATGGATAAAATCCTTAATTATCGATATTTTCTGATTGTAATGATCATCGATTAATAAGATACAAACATCGATGTTTTATAATTTTCCTGAATCCCCTTTTACCATGCTATTCAATTTCGTTTGGTGTGATTTTCGTTCGTTTTTTCATTGCTTTAAACTATGCCTGGAACTTTTTCACTGAACATAGATTATTGCTGATCATCGATTTTGAATCGATTTGAAAAAAATTCTCGTCAATCGATAATATGTAACTCGCATAATCGACCAACACTATCATAGAGTAGAGAAACGATTTTTCTCAATGTTAAAGTTGAAAGTTTAATAAATGGCTCTAATGGTTTATTGCAAAAATGAAGCAAAATTGGAGGGAAAATGTAAAATTTTTGAAGAAAAAGAAAAAATTTCAACATTTAAAAGATTGTTGTTCATTAAGGGATCGACACTCCATTTAGCCTCTTTTACAATTTGCAATTCAATGTCAACCCCTTATTGTTTAACCCCTTTTTAATAATCAAACTGTTTTTATTCTTGCATCTTCTCCTTTTTGCTCAATATAAATCAAAGAGTATAAATATTGGTTGATTTGAACTTTTTATCAGATTATGTTTTCTCTCTTTTTAAATTGTCATTAGATATTGTTTGAGGAGCATATGCTCTCAAACTAGCGTTCATCATTTTACTCAGCTTGAGATAAATCACTTACTACTTGTGTTCATTGTTTTTTGATTTACTTGTGTTCCGAAAATCCCAACTTGAATAAAATAACTTAACCTTAACTTACTTGTTAGTGTGTTAGAGTTGGGTTCGTGAAAAAACATAGATGATAAGAATACCGATTATGTACCGAGACCGAGGATTGAAACCCAAGCTTTAAAGTTTGGGAAAATGCATTTCACAAAGAGCGTATATTGCACTAACGACACAGAATAAGAATTCACACATTGTTTATCGTTAAAAAATCACTTTATTTGCAGAATAATTATTTCAAATTGTTTCAAGTACAATCTCAGTCCCAATCAATTGCCACAGCGTTCTGTTGCGAATCCCAGTCATTCGTTTCCCAGTCCGAGTCGCTTGAAACATCTTCAAAAGTAGAGGGCTTTGGCTTCCTTTCATCTTTGTCTTTAGACCTTTGATTCAACCAAATCTCTTTCATCTTCTCTTTGCCTTTATTTGGACCAAAAAAATTATCAAAATATTCTTCGAACAAATTTTCCCAAAGTGCAACACCAGGGACTCTAGCTGTTGCGATCAATGGTTGGCCATATCTCAGAATACGACAAGATTTGTCTTCATTGAATTGGAGGTTTATTTCAGCCCGAAAAAGGAAGTTCTTTCCAAGAATTAGCCTGTGCGGTAAATTATCGTAGACGTAAATTAGTAAACATATTTCTTTATGGTGTGGCTTTACTCTGATGAACATCTTGGTAAACCCAATTGCGTTTGTTGGTTTAGCTTCTCCACCAAGTCCAACCAATGCTAAAGGATAACGGCAAACCAAAAGACCTAATTCATCAGCGAGATCTTCTGTCATTAAAGTTGTTTCAATGCCAGAATCAAACATTACAGTGATAGGATCAATGTCAACATCTTCAAATCTTAACTTGTAGGTCACATCAGGGAACGGGCTATCATCATTTGATGGTTTATCATCATATCCGAGACCTTGGGTTTCAGATCTAGCTAGATGATTGCTATCTAATTGACCACGATGCTGATCTTGGTTTGAATTTCTTTGATAACTCTGATTATTGCTTCCTTGATAATTATTCCGATTCCTTAAGCGGAATCCGCTATCAAACAAATCAGAATCATCAGTAATTTTAATAAGAATAAGATTAGACACATTAGCCATAGCTAGTTGAGGTAATACAAAGGAATGATAAATAATACAAAGTTGAATTAGAGTCAGTTATTTGTGATTTATTGATAGCTTTTTCAAAGCTCTAAGCCTTGAAAATCTGAAGCTTTGTTGAGAGTAATTGTTTCCAATGGTTTTAAATATATGTTATTAATATAAATAACACCAGAATTTCCAATCAGGGAAAAGATATATGAAATTATCCCAAACAAAGGAAGTATGGTATTGCGGCGATTGGAGAAGACCAAAAAGAAATGTTGACTGCAAATCAAAGATTTTGTAGATAGAACTGTGGAAAATGGTTTCTGCTGAAAAAAGAAAAGAAATACCAAGGGAAATAAAGGGAGTTTATATCAAAGATTAGATTAAAATATGGTCTCTTAATTGTTAAAAGTTGAAAGGTTAATAAACGGGCTCCAATGGAGAGCGTTATTTGCCAAATTGACC